GGGAGCTGGCTTTATTGATCGCGACTTTATCTGCTAGCCTAAAATCATCTCTACATCAACAGCTTCGCTAAAGACACCTGCTAAACGGGAAATTATACTAAGAATTGGCAACTTAAACTGAAGTGTTGGGTCGTCGCAACCGTCATCCTGCGGAACATCTGCTATACAACATTAACAGACTAATATGTTAGACGAAAATACAGGTAATCAATCATAATAGCAAACACAATTTTGATGATTTTTTGAAGACCTTTCGGAAAACCAATAGAACTCGATATTTACAATAATAAATATATGCTATAACACAGTAATCCATGCCATCTCAGCCCAAGAATCAATAAAGCCTTACGCGATAAAAACGAAGATAAAAAGATAAACATTCTGCACAGGCCCACTCCGTCAAATTAAATGTTTGCTAGATTTATACCTTGAATTCGTTAGCTGGGTAGGATAGAAGTTGCTGCGCGATATCAGTGCAGTCTGGTTCTCCAAATTTATTCGCGTCACCATCATGCTCGATATTTCTGTTAATACCCTAAAAGAAGAAGAAACTGGTGTACATTCTTAAGATCTAAAAGGTTCATTTAATTGAGTCATCATGAAAGTGTGCATAAGCTTACTTTGGCATATAGGGAACCAGGAGTGGCATGTGTAATTCTCGTAGTAGTCACAAAGCCTACATCTATTCCTGTAATAAATCAAATTTTTATAACCCTTTTCAGTGAAATTTAAAATAATAGAATAGATCACCTTTTTGCAGAGCCCCCTCTACAATTCCATCTTGAATAGTAAGATTTTTGTAGTTCGTGCAATTGACATTCGATTGCGGCTTCAGACCTAGCGTGGAGGAATCCACCTAAAATTCCTCACGTACACTATACGGTGATCATACGCAAAGATTCAGCAAAGCAAGCTAAGGCAGCCACTCAGTGGTACTTTGCTGCATGCGGTAAGAGTCCTCCATCCCTATCCAATTTTGTTTGGCTTTGCCTGTTTCCGCTTTTTGTTTATTGCATGTCACCCGTCTCCACGGCTTGGCAGCAAGTCTCTAGTGGGCAAGCTGGATATCGTTTTTTAAATAAGCAAAAAGGAAATCTTGCGAGCATCAGAAATCTGGAAGAGCGTATTTTTCCTTGTTTTCGCCTTCCTACTCGTTTTCCGAACGT